TGGTGGCTCATATCTGTAATCTCAGCACTTTGGGAGGCTGAGGTAGGAGAATCACTTGAGCCCAGGAGTTGGAGACCAGTGTTGGCAACATAGAGAGACCTCGTCTCTACAAAAGATACAAAAATAAGCCAGGTATGGGGGCACACACCTGTATTCCCAGCTACTGGGGAGGCTGAGGTGGAAGGATCACCTGAGCCCGGGAGGTTGAGGCCGCAGTGAACTGTGATCATGCTATAGCACTCCAGCCTAGACGCCAGAGTGAGACTTTGTCTCAAAAAAAAAAAGTTTACACCGGCAGTCTTGATCTCCTTACCTCCAAATCACTCCTAACCTACTGCAGTTTAGCTCTGCTAAATTCTCATGGACATTTCTAATGACTTTAACATCAAAAGTCCTGTGGCATTCTTCTGGCTTTATTTTGAAACTTCACTCCCTTGGCTTCTGGGACAGGGCATTTCTGGGATCTTCTGCATCTGTGCTGACCATTCCTTTCTGACTGCCCCTTTTCCTCTGATCCCTGCTAAATGACAGGATTCCATCCTTTGTGTTCTGCCCTGCTCCCTTGGCACTGTTCTGGGTGCCCCACCCCCTCTCGTGGTTCTGTGTTCTGATGACAGTCAAAGGCATGCTCTGGCCTAGACTGTGTTTCTGTACTCACTGCCCACCAACCATCTCCACGTGCACTGCCCTCAAGGGCCTCGAATCCAACACACTCAAAGGGAGCTCACCATCCTTCCTCAGAATGGCCCCTACCTGCATACGCTCCACTGTCCTTGGGTCACTCTTAATTTCTTCTCCTTTCTTGAATCTGTCCCTTCTGTCATCTCTACTGTCTACGTCCTTTGTGATGCCACCTAGTTCAGGCCCTTGTCCTCTCCTGTTTAAATGACACCAACAGCCTGCTCACTCTGCCCCTCGTCTTATTCTCAGCTATCCATCTTTTGACCAGCTGCCTGGATAACCTATCTAAACAGAAAAGTGGCCCCGTCATTTCCCAGCTCTGGATGAAGGCTGAAACCCTTTACCCAGCCTATAAAACCCTCCATCATCTGTCCCTGCCTCCTTTCTACTTTCATTTCTTGGCTCTTCTGCTTTGTGTATCAGATTGTTACCTGAGTATACACTGCTTATCATCCCTTTCTGTCTTTGCTCCCCTTGGCCTGGAATGTACCCTCTGCTGAATCCTCACAATCCTGAGTGCCAGCTCCCACCTCATTCTTAAAGATGCATATGAGATTCCTCAGCTCCAAGAAACCGCCTCTGATTCCCCAGGCTGAGTGAAGTGCATCTGCATTGTGTGTTCCCATAAGAATCTGAGCATTTCTCTATTGCAGCATTTACCTCATTGTGTTGTAATTTGTCTGTGAGCTTAAGAGGTGCTTTTCCTTTTCTTTTTTGGACTACCTCTAGCATCTGGCATAGAACCTACCACATAGTAGGCCCTGAAAAAAATTTACCTGAACAAATGAATGGGTGCATTCTGTGTGAGAAGGTACAAGGGAAATATAATTAAAATTTGTACTTGAGATTAAAGGGGACGAAATACTAACTTTATTTCAGATATATATATTTAGTAAATATGCAGAAGATAGGTTCATGTTGTGAACATTCTTTAACGTGGAGAACAAAGAAACTGTCTCCAAGGAGCTTCCCTTTGATGTGGAATTGAGTAGTGTGCTGAATGTGAACAGCATTTCTGAATGTGCTGAATATGAGGTAGAGTGGTTTGTCAGAGGCAGAGTGGTTTGTCACGTTGCCCTTGGGCAGCACTTTTGTTCAGTTTTGAAAGGGCATTGCCTTGATTTTAGAATGTCTAGGTTATGGGAATTGTGACTACACACCTGAAACGTTGCTACGAAGAGATAAGGGAAATTTGATATCTGAATTAAATATGCTGAATTAAACATATACCTGAAACAGAATAAGAAAATAAAAAAACTACTTATCTAGGAAAGGATTTTATATGCTCATCAAGCAGTAAGTACGTTTATGAAATGAAATGCTTGTGTCCACAGTATCCCAACACCTGATTTTCACCCTGATGCAAAGATCTCATTGGCCCAGTCATCATTAACAAAACCACCAATACATAATCCTTACTTTCACTTTCCCCTGTCCCTGAGCCTCAGTCAGGTGGCTCATTTGACACTGACCTTGTATTTGGTGAGGGAACCACAGTTTCTAACAATAATTAGAAAATTATTCTCCGTGGTTTTAGAGGATGTCTATTGTTTCTGGTCAGCCCAGCCAAACCATTCATCCTTCTCCTGATATAACACTCTGGATTTTCTTGAGACATCCCATACTCCATAGAAAAGACATAAGCCTTGACTAATCAAAATATTGTGGCTTCCTGTTGACGGTGATTAGTTTAGGAATGGATCTATGAGCCAAACCGTGTCAATTATAGTAAATCCAGTACTTCAGTTTTAAGAGTTGGGAAGAGGTTGTGTTCTTTCCAAGGTCTGCTGAAAAGGCAGTTTGCAAGCCTGGAGCTGCTGGCTGCCATTTTGCTATCAGGCAGGGAGAGCCTGTCTGAAAACTGAGTCAGTGGAGAGAAAAATGAGAGAGACAGGGCAACAGTGAGTCCTGGAGACAGCCTGTGAACCTCTCTAGATCCAGCCTCGCCCAAAGCTAGTCTAAGTCTCTGGATGTGACTCAATAAAGCCCTTTTGCTTAAGTTGGTTTGAGTTTGGTTTTCTGTCACAGACAACCAGAAACATTTTATTTAATACCACAATCATAGGAGACATCAACACTAATAAATCAAAAGGGGCATTCCCATCAACACATGGCCTCAAACAGCCTGTGTTCCTGCAGTAAATTTCCCTGGATTGTGGTTCATTTTCATAGTCCTCATTCATGCAGAAAATCAAGATCAAGTGAGCTTTTGCCTAATTGTTTCTTCGATTAGTTGGTTCTTGCAGAGTCCAGTTAAACATCTCACAAAAGCCTCTCCCAGTAGACTCCAGCCTTTGTACCTCTCTCTATCCTGCTGGTAAGTAGGCCATTTTAGTTGGAGGACTTCTCTCTGACAACTGATCATTATTTGCTGCAGTATTAAATGTTGTATCTTTTACTTTTCTTTCAGTTTTATTTTCTGTCCCAAATTTCCTGGGTTGGTTTAATATGAAAAATGTTTTAGATTGTTTACTCTTTCTCTGTCTTAGTTTGGCATTCACAAATAAGAATTGACTAGCTAATAATAATAATAATAATAATAATAATAATGCTCTATAGTTATATCTAGAGTGTTTTTATGTTTATAATCTCATTTAATTGTCACAAGAATCTTTTGGGGAAGGAATTTTCTCTAAGATCTTGTGAATCCCTAATTCAATGTTTCTGTATTTAGAAATAAAAGAAACACATTTTAGTATTTTCTAAAGAACATGGACAATTACTTAGGAATCTGCAAAATTTTCATGATTAGGACAAATATGTGGATCAGGATAGAAATCTTGAGACTTCAAGAAATCATTTTTACTATTGTGCAAAAACCACTCAATGGACATTAGAGACAGAGCACTTGCAGTTTATTTTTTTATTTTATTTTTTTGAGTTGGAGTCTCACTCTGTCGCCCAGACTGCAGTGCAGTGGCCGCTCCCAGCCCCCACAGCCTCGCCTGCTGGGCTCCGGTGATCCTTCCGCCTCAGCCTTCCAAGTAGCTGGAATTACAGGCACGCGCTACCATGCCCGGCTGATTTTTTGATTTATTGTAGAGATGAGGTCTCGCCAAATTGCCCAGACGGGTCTCAAACCCGCGGGTTCAGGCAATCCACTCACCTCAGCCTCCCAAAGCGCGGAATTACAGGCTGAGCCACCGAGCCCGGCTCAGAGCACTTGCAGTTTAAATAGAATCGTCACAGTGATCCCTTGACTCTATTCATGGTATTGGTCTCTTTACAAGTTAGAGTTTCAAATGCTTTGCATTGATCCATGATGGAGTGAGGGAAGGATAAAGTATATTTAATTATCTAAAAGCAAACTCACAGAAGAACACCTCTTGTTAATTTTCAAAGTTGAGAAGGTTGTCAGATATCCACAAAGCTCTGTAGAAGGTATCACAAAGGCTGGGATGTGTATGCAAAAGGACATGACTGTTCATGGAGACTGAGAACAGCCTGGGTGTAGGGATGAGCTCCCGGGCCTGGAAGGAGCCCTGGATGGGAGGAGCTGGTCTTAGAAGGTTATCTAGAAGCTGAAGAAAGTCTAGCCTAGAGTAGGGTGACCTTTTCTAAGGCATGCTTTGAGGGCAACAAGGCAAGTCTCCTGGCTCCTAATCTTTTTCATCATTCACCACGACTCCTGAAATTCCACTTTCAGTCATCTTTTTCATTGGGCCTTGAAGGATTTTCAGCCTCAGAGGCCCCTTTTGGGAGAGGAGTGCCACCACCATCATTTATGAGAATTAGGAGATACTCAGCTAAGGCTAAAGCATCATCGGAACAGGAATGAAGCTAGATCTCCTGAAAGTGGGGAAAGAAGAGGGTGGACTACTTTGGGAAGGAGGAAAGAAAGGTCACAGGTGGATACCACAGGACATGAAGTCACTGCACAAATCTGCTAAGAGCTGGCCTCAGGGAACAATGAGCCATGGTTTTGCCAACAGTTATGAGAAGAAAAGTTTCTTCTTTTTCTCTCTCTCTTTTTTTTTTTTTTTTTGCAGGGGGAGTGGATCTTACTTTCTAAATTTGTCCCTGATCTCTTTATTTGGAAACTGTGGCATTTGCCTTCAGCAAATAAACTTTCCCCACAGTCACACATTTTTCCAAGATCGAATACAGGATCAGATTTAATAAAATTATTATAGAACTGTGCCCAATTTTCTTTAGATTCAACACACTTATTTAAGGGTCACAGTCTATAAGGTCAAATTGTTATGTTAAAATCGCCAAGCAGAGACTGACCTATATGCTAAGCACAGTTAGAAAAAAACCAGAAAAAGTAAAAAGATCAGAACAGTGATCTGCCTATTTCCTAAATGTTGGAGACTTACCCCATCTGGACTGTTGAACCCAGAAATGAGGGTATGCAGTAGTCAGCAGCTGCCAGCGTGTATGGGGGTCGAGCGGCAGAATCATTCCAGTAAATGTCCTTCTTCATCTTGGGCAAGCTCATGTGCATTTCATCCACAGCTAGAAGAGAGACCTAAAAGCATCATTCTGTCATTAGAATAACTCAGATGTGAATTACATAACAAGGAGAAGTTCCCATGGGGAGTTGGGAGCTGGAGTGGGCTGGGACACAGTTTAAGTGAGTGAATATACGAATGTCTATGGCTCACACTTGCAGCAACTGGGGCTGCTGCAGAGAGTTGTACCCACCATTTACTACTCAAGAGCATTCGGCAGTGAGGGTAAGAGGGGCTTATAGCTGTCCACACTCTGTTCATTGAGCCACAGCCCAAGAGTAGAATTGCCTGTGACTTGGAAGGAGGACAGTCACCTTTTTCCTCTTTGCTCACAGTTACCGTATTGTCTTAGTGGCTACCTGACAAAGTGATGCATGAATAAATTATTAATCCTCTAGGTATCCAGTTTTGACAAAGAGTGAGTGACCTAGGCATTATGCCTCCTTCCTAATAGACTGACAGTGAGATCTACTGTGAAATGTTATTTAAGAACTGAGTAAGGGTTTGAAACAAACAAGGTGAAGGCCTTCACTCCATCTGTGGTTCTAGGGAAGAAGATGGTCTGAGGAGAGTCTTGCGTAAAAGGAAAATTCCCTTATGCTGGTTCCTCATTAAAAGCTCTCTGGAACAGCCTGTGACAATAGCCTGTGTCTCAAATCTGCCTGAAATGCATCAAATGGGGCCATTTCAGGCAGATTTGAGACACAGGCTAGTGTGGTTCCAGGTCCAGTGTCCAGCTGCATCTGGAAGCCATTTTAGGCCACTGTTAACCGCTCTAGGTGGCAATAAAAAACAAATTAAATAATAAATTAGGCTGAAGGCGGTGGCTTATGCCTGTAATCCCAGCACTTTGGGAGGCTGAGGTAGGAGGACTACTTGAGCCCAGGAGTTTGAAACCAGCCTGACAACATGGTAATACCCTGACTCTACAAAAAACAAACAAAAAAAATCAGCTGGTCATGGGGGTATACGCCATGTAGTCCCAGCTACTTGGAAGGCTGAAGCTGAAGGATTGTCTGAGCCCAGAAGGTCAAGGCTGCAATGAGTTGTCATCATGTCACTGCACTCCAGCCTGGATGCCAGAGTGAGACTCCTGTCTCAAAAAAAAAAAAAAGAAATAAATTAAAATATTGCTCTCTACTGAGATGGGAGAGGCTGGATAAAGCTACAAAGAAAATTGAAACTGAATTGCTAGTAATTATCTGTGAGTATAGAACAACCCACTCCCCTCTAGGCTTCAGATTATACATGGGAGCAGAGAGGGAAACAGGAACCATCTTCAGTCTTGAAACTCTACTTAAATTGAAATTCTACTTAAAAGGAACTAAGCTTCATTGAAACCGAGATCTAGGATAGGTGAGGCTCCACAAGGATCCGTGACAACGTCTGAATAGCCACACTTCTTTCACGTGCGGCTTCAGCTCTGGAATCCAAAGCTGGCTGAGAGCAGAACCATCACAAGGAATTTATGACTTTTTTTTTTTTAGTTGGAGTCTCACTCTGTTGCCCAGGCTGGAGGGCAGTGGCACGTTCACCGACATCACAGTCTTGACCTTCTGGGCTCAGGCGATCCTTCTGCCTCAGCCTTCCAAATAACTGGAACCACAGGCGCGTGCCACTATGCTTAGTTAATTTTTTGATTTATTGTAGAAACAAGGTCTCACCAAGTTGCCCAGGCTGGTCCTGAACCCCTGAGCTCAGGCAATCCTCTTGCCTCTACCTCCCAAAATGCTGAGATTACAGGAGTGAGCCACCGGGCCTGGCAAGAATTTATGATTAATATTCACAAAGGAAAGAAAAGTCCCTCTAACCTGCAAATTCCGATCAATGCACCAGTTAGTTTCAAAATCATCATCATCTTCTCCAAAAGGATTGATAAGCTGCTCAGCAACCTGCAGTTGAGGACACAGAAGAAATCCATCATGACACCTGTGAAGACTGAGGACAGAGACCAAGATGGTTCCTGCATCCCTCTCTGCTTCCGTTTATATACATGAAGTCTAGAAGGGAGTGGGTTTTCTTTTCTTTTCTTTTTTCTTTTTTTTGAGTTGGAGTCTCAGTCTGTCGCCCAGACTGGAGGGCAGTGGCACGCTCCCGGCCACCGCAGCCTTGACCTGCTGGGCTCCGGCGAGCCTTCTGCCCCAGCCTTCCAAGTAGCTGGAACTACAGGCGCCTGCTACCACGCCTGGCTAATTTTTTGATTTATTGTAGAGATGAAGTCTCGCCAAGTTGCCCAGGTGGTTCTCGAACCCGCGGGCTCAGGCAATCCACTCACCTCAGCCTCCCAAAGCGCGGGATTACAGGCTGAGCCACCGAGCCCCGCTGGGAGTGGGTTTTCTAGAGACACAGATATTTATTAGCAGGTGGGACTTGATTCTCAGCCATGAGTGATGCACGTTTGCATCCATGCTCTTCAAATGGATCTGTTCCTTCCACTGGTGACAATGTAGTCACTATCCAGGGGAAGGCATGCACTGTTTAGGAGCCAAATCAAACCAATGAATATTGAAGGAGCACCCACTACATGCAAAGCACTATGAGGAACACATAGCCTGTGCTTTCGAGGACTTTACAGGACTCAAACGATAAGACAAAGTATGAACAGGGAGAAGGTTAAACAGCAGAGAAGAATTAAATAACAATTAAAATGACATAAGTACATAACTGCTAAGTGAATGAGTCAGAGCTAGTAAGTAATAAAGCTGGAAAATGAGGCTTGCTTAGTTTCACTCTAAGGGATTTACCCTTATCCAGTAAGTTAATTTTCCTCCTGGGAAGTGTTCGTAGCTTATTATCATATGTCTTCTAATATTTAACCAGTATTAAATATTCTTACCATGCTCCTGAATTGAATAGCCTTCTTGGTGAGAGGTTGGTATAAAATATGATTCACCTTTCTTTTCTTTTTTTTTTTTTTTTTGAGTTGGAGTCTCACTCTGTCACCCAGACTGGAGTGCAGTGACCTCAACCTGCTGGGCTCCGGCGATCCTTCCGCCTCAGCCTTCCATGTAGCTGGAACTACAGGTGTGCGCTACCATGCCCGGCTAATTTTTTGATTTATCGTAGAGATGAGGTCTCGCCTGGCCTGGCGGGTCTCGAACCCGTGGGCTCAAGCAATCCACTCACCTCAGCCTCCCAAAGGTGCGGGATTACAGGTTGAGCCACCAAGCCCGGTTGATTCACCTTTCATTCTCCTTTTTGAATAATTTCCTTTTTCAAAAATTATTTTATGTTAGTTTTTTGAGAAAGAGTCTTGCTCTATTGCCCAGGCTGTGGTGCAATGGTGTGATCATAGTTCACTGCAGCCTCGAAGTTCTGGGCTCAAGCAATCTTTCTATCTCAGTCTCTGGAGTAGCAGGGACTACAGGCACGCACCACCACACTTGGTAAATTTATTTATTTATTTATTTAGAGACAGTCTCACTATGTTGTCCAGGCTGGTCTTGAACTCCTGGGCTCAACTGATCCTCCTGCCTTGGCCTCCTAAAGCATTGGGATTACAGGTGTGAGCCAATGTGCTCAGCCCTCCTTTGATTTTATTTTCTGGACATGTGTATGCATGTGTGTGTGTGGAGTAGAGAGAGAGAAAGGAAGCGAGAGAGAGAGAGAGGGAGATTTTACATTGGGTCACAATGGAAAAAAACAAGTGTATAAAGGTATGTGATTAGTTTCTAGAGTCTAGATATTCTAGATTCTGAGACCATTCAGTAGAAAATCTACTTATTTTTTTGAATTTAAATCAAATTACCTAAAGCAGTTGTTTTCAACCTCAGCTGCACATTAAAACTACCTGGGGAGCTCTGAAAAAACAACTGTTGCCTGCGTCCTTTTCCCCGAGATTCTGAACCCAGGCATCAGTACTGGGTAAAGCTCCCAGGCATTTTTTTTTTTTTTTTTTTTTTTGAGTTGGAGTCTGCACTCTGTCGCCCAGACTGGAGTGCAGTGGCCGCTCCCGGCCACCGCAACCTCGACCTGCTGGGCTCTGGCGATCCTTCCGCCTCAGCCTTCCAAGTGCCGGAATTACAGGCGCGTGCTACCACGCCCAGCTAATTTTTTTATTTATTGTAGAGATGAGGTCTCGCTGCCCAGGCGGGTCTCGAACCCGCGGGCTCAGGCAATCCACTCACCTCAGCCTCCCAAAGGCGCGGGATTACAGGCTGAGCCACCGAGCCCGGCTGCTCCCAGGCATTTTTAATGTGTGGTCATGATTAAGAACCATCATAAGTTGTTCTTAATTGCATCTCCCTTATTTTAAGGGACAGTCCTAGGCAGGCCTATATCCTGACTCAGTACGCCTTACGGTGATATCCACATCAAAGTCCTTTATTATGGATTGTCTACCCTTTGTTGCCTGGAATTTTGCTTAAGTTAATAGGGGCAGTGCCTGGATCCTGAAAATATTTTTTTTATATTCAGATTTTTATTTTTATGGGATCAGTCCTGCATATATTGTTATAGTCTACATTAAATCAACAAAATGGCATCTGTGTTTCTGAATTGACAATCTCAAAAGAGACCCTTTACTCCATTGGAGGCTCCATTTTCAGCAAGTACCTTTCATAATGTTAAGATGGATTTTCTACATTTGAAAAGGTGTATACATCTCCAAATTGTTCAAGACAAACAGCTGTTTAGAGATTGAGGCACAGCCTATTGATGTCAAGTCTTGCCTAAGGCTAAGGTTGTGTCTCTTCATATTTGCTTTTAAAAAATATTTTATAAAGGAAAAGGAGGCCAGTATTTTAGAAAGCCTGTCAGAAGGAAGGAATCACTACCTGTTCCTGACCTACTGGTCAAGCACCTTACATGAACTCAAAACAAAGAAGAAAAAAACTCAGTACAAAAAAGATCAGAATGATTGAGCATTTGGGCCAGTTGTGGCAATTTTATATTTATAAAGGTAAAGTCTACTTTTTTCTTTAATGGAAAATGAAAGCCAGTAGTCTCTCTTACTCTTAAATGGGTAAAGATAATTAAGAACCACTGTCATCTGGTTTAAATATTTTTGCCATTTGTAAGGGACATGCCTTTACTCTTTGGAGTATAATTTGAAATGCCAAAATATTTCTTTTTCCTGGTTAAGATTCAAACCAAGGAAAGACAAGGTTTCTGCAGGGAAAACTCTGCTATAATCCGAAGACCTCCATGGGGCATGGCAATATGGGCTGTTTGGAAGGTCAAACATTTGAAAATTCTACTTTATTACCATCATCTTCATATTATTGTTAGATTTCAATTAACTTAATGAACCCATTGTCTTTGATTTTTTTTATCACATACTTTCCTTTTGGAAGTTTACAAAAGAGATGGAAGCATCAGGCCTCTAACATTTACACACACACATCTGGGGAGGGCTGGGTGGAGAGGGTAGTGGTGGAAACAAATACAATTGTACACTGATTATCAGACAAGCTGTTCTCACAGCTCAAACCTGTTTTTAATGTTCTAGCAAACCAAATGTCGTCATTAATCCTGGTATTTCTGGTTTTGATTCTGCCAAATTCTTTTCTGAGTCTCAGTTCTGGTTTTGAAAATGGGGTGCATTTAATGGTGTGGGACAGTTAGAGGATTTCAAGGAATTGCAAGCAACTGTCTACATAGTTGAGCAGAACCAAGATACTACTACAATATTCATGTTTACGTCTGATATACAAGGCTTCTTGTTTACAGTCTTTTACTCTGCCTCTTTGCTACTGTGGTATAAAACATCAATGCAGGTTACAGATATTACTTTAGTTACATTATTGTAATCCTAATGTGAGCACACAGAGACTTAAAAAAATCAATAGCTATATAAGAGCGTTCTTCTAATGTCTTTGCACAAATGAGCTCCTTCAGGCTGATGCAATATGAGACCAACTCTATCCCTGTCATTTTAATCCCTGGTGGAAAAGTAGCAACATTGCTGAGCTGTTGCATGTTAAATTTGCCTTTGACTCACTCATGAAAGATTTGCTAAAAACTCAGTAAGGATCCGTATGGAAAGTTTGGAACTGACAGATTACAAAGTAGATCAGGCACTGAGAATGTTGACCTACCTTGAGCCATCCTGCATAGAAGAAGAATTGGAGGAGAGTGAAGATAGGAATGTAAAGATCCAAGTCATGCCCTGCATAGCCTTTGGTGGGATCCAAAAACTGGCGTCCAATCAGGCACGTAAAGAAGAAGGTGTAGACAGCAAGAGTGACAACCTGGAATAGAGAAGAGACTGGAGTAAGAGGACACTGCTGGCTGCCACAGATAAAGCGCCAGTGTGGGCAAGTAGATTTTTTTTTTTTTTTTTTAGAAAGCAGAATCTATTGAGAGGACAGAAAAGCTCCCACGGTGGGAGGGGACCCAAAAGGGTTGCTCAGGCAAGAAGATTTAAAGAATCATGCACCAAGGATCGGGTACCTGGGTGTAAACCAGCGGAATCCCAACCCAGTCATAACCGAATAAGAGGCTGCACCAGGAGCGGTATCGATTCATCTCCTAAGCCAGAAACAGATCAAACAGGATTTACTGAACGGATAGGTGTGGCCATAAATATTTACTAGGATTCAGAATGTGGCACATCTTTTATGACTATGTCTGTTAAGTGAAAAGACTCACTATGTAAGACTAGTAAATTGGTTCCCAAGGCTACTCCAAAAGTTCTAAAAATGGTAACCAATGGACATCATTGAACAATGTGCAAAAAAGATAAGTACGTTGAACATTTTAAAAAAATGTTAAAATAGGTCAAGATTTTGTAGAAATATCCCCTATTCTACAGAACCCATAATTTCCAACATATACATTGGCCCAAAGTGGTGATGGGAAAGGAATGGTTAATATCTTAAATAAGTAGTTTTGGCAAGTAACACGGAGAGGAGTTTTTTCCCCTCTCTTTAAAAAATATGCTTACTATAGATCTTAGAAAAGAGATGTAAATATACTTCTTTCCCCCACATTCATATTGATAGAAAATCTCTCTTTCTCTCTCTCTCTTTTCCCAGACTTAACTTCTCAACAAGAAAATCTATCTCTGAAGCAGGAAGGATGGGATTCTTTGATTCCCTCCCCCACTACTGCACATAAGTTATTATCTGAAACTGGGAAGAAGAGTTCACATTAATTTGAGATCTATTCACTCCATCCTTTTAACTTAATCCAGGCAGGAGGCTGTCATGGCACATATACGTATATCTAGTCCTTACATAAACTTGTTTTTTTCAAATGAATTCAGGGTTAGTTTGTGTAGTGAAAACACTATTTTATTTGATAAGGCATCTGAAAGCTGATTTAACCTTGGGAGAGATGGCTGGGAGGTTTATTTCTCCTCCAGATTTTATTCTAGGATCCTGGAGCCAGGGATGGCAAATATGCCCCGTGGGCACCATATCCTCCAGAGCCCTTGGCAGCAGCCCTTGGCTAATCAGTCAAAGAACACTTTTCTACAAAGCTGACTACAAACCATGATTCTGTTTAGCACACAGCTTCCCAGCACCACTACCAAGCAATCTGAGTTCAGCCTGTGAACTACTCTGTCCAGTCCGTTGAGAGTTCTGATTCTAGCCCAATATTTCCAGTTCCTATAGAACCAGGATGGAATAAAGCAGATTCTTCCTGTTCTGACCTGTCATGTCAGGTCCCTCTCGGTCTCTAACGAGCATCTATTGCTGATGGCCCATGATGTACTTACAGTCATCAGTGACTGCAGATCGACACTGTCTCTGATTCTACCTTCATTCCGGGCTTTGGTGGCGAGATTTCCAAACCAGATGAATGGAACCCAGTATTTCAGATGAGGAGATTTGAGGTGGTTGAATAATTTCCTTTCATCTGCTGTCATAAAGCCTTTACAAAAAATAAAAACAGGTAGATTATACAGACCTCGTTTAGCACTAATACGTTACCATATTTCAGTGTCTACTATGTAAGCATATAATGGGGGGTAGTAAAGAAATATGAAGTAAAGATTCCTGTCTCAAGCAGTTTATACTTGTTTAGAGATAAGAAATGTGTACATGTGAGCACGTGCATGCACGCACACACACACAAAAAGTTATATACCAACATATGAAGCAATGGATAGTTTTGTGCCAAAACACACATTGGCAATCCCTGATAGGGAAGGCCAGCAGGAACAGGAGACATTAAGTATGAATTAGAACATGTCAAGAAGTTTCTTCTTTAGGCTTTGGCTTATTCACTTAAAGTTGGGTATAATAATACTCATAATTGTTAGGATTAAAAGAATAAAATATGATAATGTATACAAAGCACTTAGCATAGTGCTAAACATAGAATTTGCATGACTTTCTCTCCTGATCTCTCTTTTCAAAGTCTTACATCATCATGTCCTCTTCTGTGAAGCCTTCCTTGATTTCTTCCTTCTCTTTACCGTGGGATTTCTCCCCTTTAAAGTTCTCACATGGTACTCACTCTTGGCTTGCATTACAGTAATATGTATATATATATTTGAGTTGGAGTCTCATTCTGACACTCAGGCTGGAGTGCAGTGGTAAAATCATGGCTCACTGCAGCCTCAACTTCCTGGGTTCAGGTGAGCGATCCTCCTGCCTCAGCCTCCCAAGTAGCCTGGACCATAGGCATGTGCCACCACACCTGGCTAACATTTTAAATTTTTGTAGAGATGAGGTCTCACTATGTTGCCCAGGCTGGTCTTGAACTCCAGAGTTCAAGCAATCGTCCCACTTTGGCATTTCAGTAATATTATACATAAATGTTTCTCCTACTATGACCCTTTTGAAGGGCAAAGAGCACATTCAGCTTCATGGTCTCCATAGCAGTTTACACATACATTCAAAGTGCATTAAAAGTACATTAAAAGTGTTTCTTTAATTGTGTGTGTGTACTTGGAAACGTGCTCCACCTCACTAATCATCAGAGAAATGCAAATCAAAACCACATTGAGATACCACCTAACCCCAGTAAGAATGACCATCATTAACAAAACAAACAACAGCAGATGCTGGCGAGGATGCAGAGAAAAAGGAACGCTTCTACACTGCTGGTGGGAATGCAAAACTAGTGCAACCTTTTTGGAAGACAGTGTGGCAATTTCTGAAAGAACTAGAAATTGACCTTCCATGACCCAGCAATCCCCCTGGGTCATGGAGAATACACCTGGAGGAACTCAAATCAGTCTACAAAAAAGATACCTGCACATGCATGTTTATTGTAGCACTATTCACAATAGCAAAAACATGGAACCAACCATGCTGCCCATCGAGACTGGACTGGTTTAAAAAAAATGTGGTACATATGCACAATGGAATATTATGCAGCCATAAAGAAAGACAAACATATGAACTCTGCAGCAACTTGGATGGATTTAGAATCCATTATACTCAGTGATCTATCACAGAAACCAAGAACAGAGTACTATATGTTCTCACTCATAAATGGACCTTGAACAATTATCATAATACTATAAGAAAGAGATTGGCAGTAGTGGGAAACTGCCAGGGAGGGGGATGGGATTGGTTGTAGTGGGAAACTGCCAGGGGTGCGGGGCACACCTCATCAACAAGGGTACCTGCATAATGAGCATTTGTATACCTATCTCTGAATTGTATCCCACATCTTTAAAAATTAAAAAACAAAAACAGACAAAAAATGTGTGTGTGTGTGTGTGTGTGTGTGTGTGTGTAAAATGCAGTTTGCTTGAGCTTGCAGTGCTCTCTGAGTCTCTGTTTTCTCATCTGTAGAAGAGAGATGGTAATATCTACTTCACAGAGATCTGTAGAATTACCTGAGTTGAACATGTCAAGATGCTAGCATAATGCTTGGCACACATTTAGCACTCAATAAGTGCTAAGACGTAATATATTATGTGAAACTCTATCCTCTAACCTCCTCCTCATTCCCTGGACACTAAGGAAAGAGGAAATTTGAATAATAGAAGAGGAGTAAGATAGCAGGCTTATTTAATAAACAAACATTTATTCAATGTCTACTATCTTCCAGGGTTTATTCACACAAAGATATACTCTATTTATTTATTTGTTTATCATTTATTATTTTTTTAAATTTTAGATTCAGGGAGTACACATGCATGTTCATTACATGGGCATATGGTGTAGTGGTGGGGATTGGGTCTCAGGTGGCCCACTTCCCAGATAGTGAACAATGTATTCCATAGGCACATTGGAGAAATTTCTGGACCCTAACTTCCCTTCCCACCTCCCTCCTTATTGGTGGGGGGTGGTCCCCAGTGTTTATTGTTCTCATCTTTATGACATCTGGCTCCCACATGTGAGTGAGAACACATGGTGTTTGGTTTTCTGTTTCTGAGTCAGTACACTTAGGGTGATAGTCTCCAGCTCCATCCATGTTGCTGCTCAGGGCATGATTTCATTCTTTTTTATGGCTGCATAGTATTCCATGGTGTATATATACATTTTCTTCATCCAGTCAATTTTTGGTGGGCACTTAGATTGGTTGCATGATTTTGCTATTGTGAATTGTGCTGCAATGAAACACACAAGGACAGGTATCTTTTTTATATATTGATTTCTTTTCCTTTTGCAGATTGTTAGTGGTGGGATTGTTGGGTCAAATAGTCATTCAATTTTTGGTTATTGAGAAATCTCCAGATTGTTTTCTATACAGGTTGAACAAAGATGCACTTTATTATTTTATTTTTATATTTTGAATATTTTTATTGTATTTGTGCCACAATAGTGTTTCAAACAATATTCAGATTTAGCTTGTTGCAATGAGAAACATAAATTGGATGTAAAATATGCTCATATTTTAGCACAAATTATGAAGTTTATCAATGCCCTATTGTTTTCAGCCCAATGCTTTTGTACCCATTTCTAGCCAGATTATGGTTTAGACTCTAGGAATCTCAAATCAGTTTAGGTGAATGTTCCTCAAAGATGACTTTAAAAGCTCACACTTTACACTTGATCTTTTATTTTTAAAAATTGTGATTAAATAATTTAAATGATACAAAATTCCCAATGGGGCAAAGGACTCTATTAATGAAGAAAGTAAGATTCCTTTCCCAGCCCAGAGCGTCCCTCCTTGGAGGAAATCACTACGATCAGGTTCTTGTGTATCTTTCCAGAGAAATCTCATGAATTTTCACACGGGCCTATTTTTTTAAGACACGTATGATTTTATACTACATTCATAACTGCCATTTGCTTCTATTTTCCTGTTATATTTTGGTGATTTAAAAAATTAACATAGGGAGAGCAGCAGCATTCTTTTTAATGTCTGATCTCCCATATTTATTAGCATATTAGTAAATAATTAACTACATACAATATTTTATTTAACTAGTTTCCTTTTGAATATAAAGTTAAGTTGTTTTTAATTTTTTGCTAATAAAAATAATGCTGCAATAACTGTCCTTTAATCTACTCCCTGGGCTCTTTATTTTAAGTAGTGCTTAAATATTAATTATGATTTAATATAGTGTTTTCCGAATTAAAGTTTATTTCTTTTTTTGAGTCGGAGTCTCACTCTCAGTCAGGCTGGATTGCAGTGGCATGCTCATAGCCATCGCAGCCTTGACCTGCTGGATTCAGGCGATCCTCCTGCCTCAGCCTACCAAGTAGCTGGAACTCCAGGTATGTGCCACTATGCCTGGCTAATTTTTTGATTTATTGTAGAGATGAGATCTTGCTAAATGTCCCAGGCTGGTCTCAATCCCCTGGGCTCAGGCAATCAATTCTCTTGCCTCTACCTCCCAAAGTGCTGGGATTACAGGCATGAGCCACCATGTTGGGCCAAAAAGTTTAATTCTAAAATTAGATGTTATGAGTTATTTTTGTCTCAGAAATGCAATTATTTGCTTATGAAATTCTGATAATACATTCAGATGAAAAATCAACTTTTGCCCTAATGCAATACATTCTATATCTTTAACCATGTGTAATCAGTATATAACTCTGGTTGTCTTATTTAAGGCAATCCTTTCTCCTTAATATGTAGACTGAAATTCATACAAGGGATTTTGTTATACTAGAAAAGATGTTAAAGAAGAAGTGAGATATGCTCATTTTGAGAGTCACTGATTCATAGATCTTTGGAATCACCTAGATTTTTTACCTGACCTAGCCCACTGTTTCTAAGAATAAGGTCTACAGGGAATGGGTCTGAATCGTTTGTGACATCTATTAAACATGGAGAAGGCTGAGCCCTCACCCAGACCTACTAAATCAGACTAAATAGGGGAGGAGTTCTCACCCCACGTCAGCACCTTAGAATCTCATGTGGGTACTTTTAGAAAATACCAGTGCCTGCGTTTCATCCTTAGAGATTCTGATTCAATGAGTCTAGGATGAGGTCAGGTGTTGGCATTCTTTTAAATCTTTCTGAATGATTTAATAGTATTGAATCCAGGCAGTTGCATGTTTACCAAGCTCTGCAGAAAATTCTAACATAGAGTGGTGTCTGGAAATCACTGTTGCACTGAGTGAAAGTTCTGTTGATTCAAGATATGAGATGGATAGAGTAATGACTACAAAGCCAATATTTATCGACACAAGACTAGTTTTAGATAATACTCGGGTAGGTGTGGTGGCTCATACCTGTTATCCCAGCACTTTGGGAGACCAAGGCAGGAGGATTGTTTGAGCCCAGGAGTTCGAGACCAGCTCAGGTAGCATAGTAAGACCTTGTCTCTACAAAAAATATATGTATACATACATATATATGTATATGTATTAGCTGGGTGTGGTGATATGTGCATGTAGTCCCAGCTATTCAGGAGGCTGAGGTGGAAGGATCACCAGAGCCCCGGAGGGTAAGGCTGTGGTGAGCTGTGATTGTGCCACTGGACTCCAGCCTGGGCAACAGAGTGAGACCCCTATTCA